TGGTAGTTGTCAAACATGGATTTCTTTTATTTTTCTGATAGATCATGGGTGCAACAAAATAGAATTATAATTAATATTTTTACTCTTTTTTTCACATTTCACACGCACGCACGCACACACACCTTTGTTGAAAACTATAGGAGTGGGCATACCATGTGGATCGAAGTTTAAAACGTATTCCACCCAATAAAGAAAACAAAACTGTCCAGGCAATTTCATTACTTTATGTTATCCCAAAAGCAATTTTTGTTAAAGAAAAGCATGATGTTGCTGTCTTGGGCTGTCAAGCATGACTCCTGTCCTAGAGATGCAGCTAATCAAGCAAAGCCACTCGATCGAGCCAAGCAGCAATTGCTGCTCAGAAGAGTTCAGTAGAGAGATGTCAAGTCCATGGGATGCTCTCCTCTCCCAATGCTACAACATTTCTTTTCTTTATAGGGCCGCCTCCTTGAAAAAGCAAATTTCTTTTTATTTTGTTGGGTTAAACTGTGTTTGGTTTAAACTAAAAATTATTAAAAAATAATTTTTTTAAAATTAAATACAATTTAAAAGTGACATTACCGAATAGACAAACAGATACTTCATCTTATTAAATTTTCTTTACTGGTTACAGAGCATAGTACTAGAGGTGGATATAACAACAAGCTAAATTATGACGTATTTTTTGAACTTTATTTGACCGACCCGATCGAGTTACCTTTGTCTTTGATAACACAAAACAAAAGTAATTGATATAATTTCAGAAATAAAAAATGATAATCAATATAAAATTCAAGATACAATAGAGTAATATTTGGAATTTAAATATTTTGTTTATCCATTTTTCAAACACCTCTTTGTTGAATAAAATTATTTATTCATTTAATTTCAAGACTCATTAATTAGTCAAAATTAGATTTATATTGCAACTTAATTTTATGATTTATCCATCATTTGTAATAACTATTTCAAAAAAAAAAAACCCTCAGCTCACAAAATATTTTAAAAATAAATTTTTAAAAGGGCACACTTGATAATTGAAAAGGATCCTAAGTCAGCAAGGTCATAATTGGATTGAGAAATACTCCACAATTATTGTTTCCTTTTTCTATTTACTAGCACATTTCCCCTCTTTTCAGTCTTGTTCTGTTTTTTTTTTAACCCATCATAGAGAAACATACATGGACCCATGCAATGAATGGAAAGGACCTTCACATGATTTGACTTCCATATCATGTTATGTAAATATGATAGAAAAAATATGGTCCCAAATGTTTCTGTTTTTATGGTATAATCCAAAAGATTTGTTAATCTTTGCCCTTCACTAAAGCAAACCATCAGATTTTGTGCTGATTTTGATGATCAGTTCTCAAGGGTCATGTCCTTTCCTTTTCCATGTTTAAAATATTGCTGCCTCATCATTTGTTTTGCATGGATCCCAAGTATAGCATCATTTCTTCTTTAGTTTTTGTATATAAAAAATGCGAGGATAAATCTTTGAGGAGAGGAAATATTTGAGTATTTCATTTGAGTTTTTATTTATATGAATATAGGTATATACCAAAATAATCTCCAAATTAAAAGATTTTTTTACCTTATCCACTTTAAAAGAAATGAAAAATATTATAGCTATTCACTATTTCTATAAAAAGTGAAGCACTTACATTTTTTTATTTTTTTTATTTTTTCCTTTTAATTTCATTATTTTTTTATAATTTCATCGTCATATATTTTTTAACGATTATCTTGGTTTATTTGAAGTTGGGTCATGTTGAGACAACTCTTATACGGTTTAATTTTAAACTTGAACTTGACAATGATTTGAGTTAGGAGGTTTTTTTCTATTAATTTTGTCCTTATAATTTCCCTACTGATCATTCGGGTTGTCTTTAAATCGATCAAGGCTATTAGGTCATGCTGGGAAAAATCTTACACTGTTTAACTTAAAACCCAAGCTAGGCAAGCAATGGGGTCATGATATTTGATTTCTATTATTTTTTCTTTTTTTTTGCCCTTAAAACTTTTATATTGGCTGACTAATTCCTTTTCAATCAACCAATTCATATTAAGATAACTCCCACATGGTTTAATTCTAAACTCAGACTTGGTAAAAAGTTAAATTGAGATATTTTAAGGCTGACTTGTTGGGTCAAATTTAATAACAATGACAGATAATTCTAATGCACGTGAGTAAAGGATAAGAGGTTTTTTACAAGTCAAATTCTTTAAAGACCAAGAACACTATAAATACAGGAAAACTCTTAAAATACTTAATTTTAATCCTTCATGTCTTCACTGGCTAAAATATTATTACAGCCATTTATATATATATAAAGAAAAAAATTAGAAAACCTTAACAATACTAAATATAAAAAACTAAAAAAACTAAAAAATCCATAATTAAAAATAAAAATATCTATTTTCCTAAAAAATCTTATGCTTTCAGTCCTTTCAAGTTGGAAGAAACTCATCATCGAGCCCAATCCTAAATTAAAAATTATTCTTTATCAAGAACATTCTTTTATGCGTATATTACTCGATCATTAGTCTCTAACAATTATGTTTGAGCCACCTTATCATGGTCCCTAAAACATCACTTTTGTCTGGATCACCTCATTATAGATTCATAACATAATATTTTTGTATGGGCTGTCCCATCATGAATTCTTAACACAATACCTTTAAATAGGTTGCTTCATCGTGGGTCATAACACTAAGATTTTGATTAACAATAACTGATATATATAGAAATAACACATTATTTTTTAAACTTTTTTTTCTAAGAAAAAATCTCCTTGTCCTTTTCTATACAAGTACATCATGTTTTGTAATATTTTTTTAACCTTGGTTATTCTGCAATACACTTCAAAGTAAAATAACCACTAAGAATCATTAGACTTTAATAACAAATGCATAGATAAGGATGAAGGATAATGAGGTTTGTTACATTATAAAACCCTTAAAGACCCAAAACATTAAGTACGAGGAAACAACTAAAATATTTAATTTTTATTTATTTATATTTTCACTTGCCAAAAAGCTATTATAATCTTTTATATATAAAAAACCTAAAAAACTTGTCGAAAAGCTATTATAATATTTTATATATAAAAAAAAGCCTAAAAATTCATAATAATATCGATTAGAAAAAAATAAACTAAGAAAAATATTCAAGTATGGAAAAAAACTAAAAAAATATCATAATAAAGAATAAAAAAAAGAAAGATATCTATTTTTCTTAAAAATTATTACATCAAAATAGAATTATAATAAATGATGGAATAATGCTATCCATAGAAACCTCCTCATCTTCTCCTGTACAAACATATCATGTTCTACTATCTTTATAGCCATGGTTGGTTTTTTATAATGCATATCAAAATAAAATAACCACTAAAAATCAATGGGTGCTTCATTATTAATTGATGTAAATGGGAGTGAAAGATAAATAATTTATATTAGTCAAAACCCTGAAAGATTAAAAACATCATAAGCACAAGAAAACTTTTAAAATACTTAATTTTATTCCTTCATGTCTCCACTTACCAAAAAGTTATTACAAACTTTTATATAGAAAAAAGAACTAGAAAAATCTAATAATATTGAATAAAAAAATAAACTAGGAAAAAAATATTATATTCAAATAAAAAAACTAGAGAAGCATCAAAATAAAAGGTTGAAAAATAAAAATAGAAAGAAATGAAATTAACCAAGGGATACTTTTCTAAAAAAGTTCATGCGTCAAGTTCTTCATGGCCCGATTTTTATTTATTTTCAATCTTTTTTATACAAGTCGCAGCATGTAAACTAGTTATTTATGATTTTGAAATTTTGTTATCATCTATTCTTTTTAGTAGTTTTATTCCACAGTTCAAATTAGGTACCTTTCAACCTACCATCATTTTATGAATTTTTGTAATTCAAAATCACCATTTTCACCTACAAATTAAAAAATATCCATAATATCAAACATCATTTTTACTTTAAACTGTTAATTAATAATGGAATTTAAAATTTTAATTTAAATCTTATAAATCTTTGGATCCGGAGTTTGAAACAATTTCTTATGATTATAAATGATGTTTAAGGTGTTGTGTGATGATTTCTACAACTGAAAAGTGGTTGAAAAATAGAACAATGAGTAGTTAGAAGTGAAAAAGGTAATACTAAAATCTCAGAAATTCCATTATTAATGAATGGAAAATTATTATTTTTAATTTTGATCAAACACAACTTAACATGAAATTAGATACACAACATTGGTTCGTTTTTAATTTTAATTCTATTAATCTTTAATTGAGTCAAAATATTAATTTTTTTAACAAGCAAACGAGAGATTTCTTGAACGTTTTTGAAAGTTAGAAAAAGAGATTAAAATTATGAATATTTCTAGAGGACCAACTTAGCAAAACATTACAAGTGTAGGGACCAAATATACTGTATCTTTCATATCACATCCAGCAAGCATGAGCTAGAGAATATTAAAGAAAAGGACATGAACATCACAAGCTGCCAAAGGAATCTCTTCTGTTTTCCATTGGACCCCTCTCTCTTTTCCCTTTTCTATAAACAAAATAAAAGGACTTAAAAGCACATGAATAAAAAATTACTATACAATAATGGATGATTGCTTTGTATCCTGAAGTGGTGCCTCATCCCCGGCAAGGTCGATCCAGGATCTAAAACATTTAGTAAAATATTCAGGTTAATTTATAACTCAAGTTAAAACCCAGCCCCGGTTTTAACTCTTGAACCTTTTTTCTTGATAAAATGGCATTATTTTAATATTTTTTTTTAAAAAAAACCAACCTAGGCCGGTTCTCTTACCCATAACTAGATTCTGATCCCAAATTGGTTTCGAAACTGATTTTCGATTCTGTTTTTGTAAGTATGGTATTATGTAGCACTTCCCTTGGCTCGGAACAAGAGAAGATCTTTGCCCTTTTTCACGTGGCTGATGAATCATGATGTATCTTTGGCCTTTTTCATGTGGATGATGAATCTATAATGTGTCATTTCTTACACAAATATTAAAAAGTGGAAGGTATCGAAAGAAACAAGAAAGAGACACTTCTTCCAAGTCATCTTCCACAAATCTTCCACTTCCTTTTTTTTTTTGTTTCTCTCCTTCTAGATTTCAAGATCTGCATCTTCTCAACAAAGAAAATGGAAACCATCTTTCTAAGCTAGACAACAAGACCACCAAAGCCCACTAAAACCACTCCATCTTTGAATATCTCATGAATCTTTAGCAGACGCACTCTCCCTTTTCTTGATAATTTCCGAGAACCATAAACGAACTCTCTTTTTATAGTGTTTGGTAAAGCTTCTGAAAAGCGAAAGACTCAGAACCCCATCATTCATTTAACTTCTCTCCATTTCCCAATCAAAATCTCTCTCAGCTTTCTTTCATACCCATAAATCTATCCATCCACACTCATTACCTACTCAACACCATCATTAACAACAAGAGCTAGCCAAGAAAAAGTAAAACCCTTTTCTTGAGTTCACTAAAGATGCGAACCTTTCTCACAATCTTTCTCTCTACATCCTTATTCACTCTCTCTCTTTCAAGCTTCCTAGCTGAGCCAGTTTCTGGCCAAAACCAGCCTCTAAAACCAGGAGACTATTCAAACACCAACACTGTCCCTGCATTTCCAGTCCAAACTGAGTCTCAAATTTGCCACTTGGACCTCTCAGCTGAACTTTTTGGTGGTGTGAATGATGCATGTGGTCGAGACCTTGACCGTAGCCGGTGCTGTCCAGTTCTTGCAGCTTGGCTCTTTGCAGCTCATGCAAGGTCAGCCCTTCAAGTCCACGCTTCAGCCCCGACACCATCACCTGATTTTCCAATGATGCCTGATGATTCACAAAAATGTGTGAATTCATTACAAAGTGCACTTTTGACTAAAAATGTGAAGTTGCCACAGCCTAATGCTAGCTGTGATGCTATACTGTGTTTTTGTGGGATTAGACTTCATCATATTAGTTCAATTAGTTGTCCTGCTGCTTTTAATGTGAGTTCTGGGTTTCATAATGCAACTCCTACTGCTGCTGTCACGAATTTGGAGAAGAATTGCAAGAATTCCTCTTATGCAGGGTGTACCAAGTGCCTTGGTGCCCTCCAAAAGGTTAGTTTTTAGAAGGAATTTTGCATTTATTGCTCCTTGTGAATGTTTCATCTTCAATGGATAGAAGGAATTTTGCATTTATTGCTCCTTGGTGCCCTCCTTGTGAATTTTGCTTTTAATGTGAGAGGGATTACTTCATTTATTAAGGCTGGTTTTCTTGTGGGATTTTTTTTTTTTTTTTGGGGGGGGGGGTTTGTGGGTTTTTCGATTGATTAATTCATCTGAAAAATTGGAGTTTCGGCTTCATTTCAAGACTGCCCTTTTTTCCTGGGGTTGGTGATCTCAAGCTTTTCTTGACTTTGCAAATGAGTGGCCTGCCTCAATTCATGGCATTTTTTAGGGGATTTCACAACAATTTGAAGGGCATTTTCGTCATAATGTTCATATTATCATTCGGTACGATGCCTTCAGTATATGTTGTGTCCAAAAAAAAAAAAAAAAACCCCTTTCAATTCAAGTTCTTTTGTGGGAACTTGCTTGATGTTGTCTAAGTTACAACTTGTTTTGTTCACCAGCAAATTAGAGGAAAAAGGTGTGAAGGACTACTAAGACTTTTTAGGGGATTTGCAAGGGCTAGTTTTCATTTGCTGTTGATGGTTCTATGACTCTCAACTCTCAAATAAAAAAAACAAGAGTATAAGCTCCTGCTGCTATCACGCTTATAATAATTGGGCTTTTAGGTATGAATTGACTAGTGCATTGCATAGTGAAAATAGCTCTCGAATAAGCAGAAGCAGGAGCATGAAAGTGAAGTGGGGCAATGTGTTTACTTTCAGGGTCTTCTTTTTGCTGTTTTGTGAACAGCCTTCTAGGGTAGACCTCAGAAAGTCACCCTACCCATAGGTCCCATACCCATGTGCCCTCCCACCGACTTTTACACTGCAAACAATTTGGCTGTCTATTTCCTCGAACACAACCTTTCCTCTTTGGTATTCCACCTTGTTCAAAACCCTTTTTTTTCAATCTCTTGTGCATTATTTTCTTATGACTAAAATGTGATTGCTTTTACAGCTGAAGGCCAAGAATGGAACCCAAGAAAAGAGCACAAGAGATGAGAGGGCAAGCAAGATGTTCAACAGGGATTGCCAGCTAATGGGTCTAACTTGGCTCCTTGCAAGAAACAAAACTGAGTACATACCAACTGTTTCTGCTGTTTTAAGAGCCATAATGTATAGCACACACCCACCAGTGCTTGAATCCAAGTGTAGCCCTGATCAAGAGAACATGCCTTTGGCTGTTGATTCACTTCAATTTGAGAAGACACAGTCATCGTCTTCCTCAAGATCAACATCATCATGGCCTGGTTTTTGTTTTCTTGTTTTACCCCTAATGATTCTAGCTAGGGGTTGGTGAAGGCCCTATACTACTGTACTTTTAGCCCTAGACCCTGTAATTCTTTTGGTGGTACATTATTTTGTTCTAGGGCAATCACTTGAAGCTAGCACTAAAACGGGCTATTTGTCGTTTAGCCCTCTGTAAATTTCAGCTCGTTTTTGCCGGAGTCTGTTCATTGACATCTTTTATAAGGAGGAACTCTCTGGGATTGATTCTTGTTAAGTTTCAACATTTTTGAGTCAGTTTGAGCACATCACGAGTTTGAGTACATCACGACTAAGTATTTGTCAATTTATTTTTATAAAAGGTAATTTATTTTTATAAAAGGTAGCCAATACCACGACTAAGTATTTGCCAATTTATTCGTATGAAAGGTGGTTCATATGGATGGACAAAAGGCCTGTATTATAAAATGTTTATGTTCATAGAAGGGAAAGAAGGGCATTTCTAGGGATTGTTTACTAAGAAATATTAAATAATAAGTTTGATTAATTAAATACTAATCAAAGGAATCTGTTTCAATGGCAGCAATTAACATCAATGTGATCGAGGAATCAGCTCCCCAAGACTGAGTATGTTGGTCGTATATTAATGTCAATTATAAGCAAGAGTAGATCATTTTACATTAATAGTCTTGGGGTTAGGATCTCTGATTATTAAACTTAAGCCATAAAGTTTGGGATGAAAAGTTTGATTAATTTATGTTAGTTTATGGATTCGAAACATATGAATTCACATGCATGTTGTAGTGTGTTCAATACCTGTCCTTTTGCGCTAGACTTGCCTTCCATGGAAGGTGCTTTAATATATATATATAT